ACAAAATACAGAGAAAATATGGCACTGTGATGCGAGAATATTAGGGATAACGGAATGGCTAAACTTTTGATATTTCCGGGAGTTTTTCAGTTGCAAAATTTTCTGGCTGACTTAATGGCTGAACTTGACTTCGTCAGTTTAGTAGCTAAGAACGAAAAGGACTCGTTCCACTGCAGTAGTGAGTCAGGACTGAGGTAACAAAACAATGCTATCCGATTTTTTGAATTTGTCCATCTGGTGGCAGACCGCGACTCCTGAAGAAGCTGCCATGGTAACCCGGTAAAGATAGCAGGAGTCGTTGATGAATGAATGAGGAATGAATCTGCCATTGAGCTAAAATGTTTATTAGCAGACTTACTTTACCCACCCTTACGGCGCATGTCTATAATGAACCGGCACAAAGAGTTGCCATAGCGCCCGCATCCACAGAACAGTCTACACACTGTTTCTGATCAGGCTAGATAACAGTTTCATACAAGACGGGGAGGAGATGGGAGGCGAGGGAAGAACCGACCGTTTTTTTATAACTGATTTATCCTCCATTTTTATATTGTGACCACAATCAATGACGTCGTTAGATCAAAGTTGCTTGGAGGTGAATTTCAACGTCCGTTGGGAAAAGTGCTACTTACTACTTACATTGGGAACACGAAGCTGGAACTTACCGGCTGAGGGATGAATAGCTGCGCACAGCGCCAGGATGCCAAACATGAAACGGCGCACCGCTATGCCGTCCATTGACGATTGCCTGGCCCTGCGCAGAGTTACGTGTCGCCTACTTCGATGAACTGGTGCCGCTTGAAGGTGACTTACGAAGAGCAGGACGCTTTGAAGTTTCAGGAAAATGCCCTTCGGAACTGATGACATCGCTGAACGTTGATGACGATTGCCGGAGGCACTTGCGAATCCATCTTCTACTCGTGCCGGCGCGTGGCGAGTGACGGAAACTCGGTTCGCCGACGTTTCACAGCGACACCGCGAGGCATCGATCGATTGCCAGAGTCACGGAAGAAACGAGGCGGCAGCAGCTGCGGAGTAGAGAGGAAGCTGAGTAGAGAGACAAATAATTATACGAGGTCTGGCGAATATCGAGCGATCTAGGGGAGAAATTCTAACTCGCGAGCTTGGAGGACAATTACATGATCATTTACGCAGATGTGTGGAGTGTTGAGGTAGCTCGGCTTCGATATGGATGGCCGCAGATCAATTTTAGAGCTTTGCTTTGCTCTCTAACTATCGATCTGTCTTCTTCACAGAAAATGACTTTCCTGGGCTTTGCCGAGCTTTGAAAAATCTTTCACCAAAGGCAGTAGATTGTATAGGAAACAGATCGTCAGAAAATTCACGGTTCTCCTCGATTTTCCCACAGCCGTTTTGCAGCCACGGTCATAATAGTACGCCGGATGACGGCGATGGTAATATCTATTGATTCTGAACGATAGAAAATTTTTGCTTCAAACCGCATACCTTGGCTACCGGAAAGGTTGAAGGAGAAGGGATCAAATTTGGGTTCGTTTCGGTTATCATGTGCCAAGAATAAAAATTCTCCACTCTCTTGGCTAATACTTACTGTTGGTGTCCGTCCACACAAAGTTTCATGTCTCTCGTTCATCGCATCGTGTCCAATATGAGCCAAGGTTTTCCAGCTGGGCTCTAAAATCTTTTCTCTTTGCCACGTGCCCTCTGAAGATGATGACAACCATGTGATTACATTATTCACAACATGTGGTTGCACTATATTACAACCGTAGTTTTAATACTTTAATAACGATATACGGATAATGGAGTCCATGACAAGAAACGTTGGGGAAAATACGATTCGGTATATGAGACAAGACTTCGCCTAAGCTTCACTGCAGACATATTGAAATTCAATGAGGTTTGCAGATGAGGTTTGAAGTTTGAACGAGTCCCACTCTGTAGGAAACATCTTGAGCAATATCGGTACTCTCAGTGGTTCAGATCTTGGTGGTAAAGTGAAATGTGCTTCCAATTACAGTCGAGATCAGCGATGAGGTGGTACCCTGGGAGCAACGGAATAAAATCATAAAACGTTTGACTCAGAATGTCATCGAATACTGGTGAAAGGTAGGTATTGGGAACCATTTGGATATCGTAACTTAAATACAAAGCCGCTGGACGTGTTCTTTCTTCGGAACTTCAAACAAATCAAGCGCTGGGCATAAAATACTATACTTATCTCGGATTTCCTGTAGTTCCTTCAACTTGCCTCTTCTCGTTAATCTACCACTTCGTTCCAAGCCCAATAAAAACAAACTGGTCGTTTACTGTATCAATTCTTGCTTTGGCTGAACTGGCTGTCTTCGAGGCATACAGCAAATGTTCATTGCATGTGCTATGAGCAATGGATATGCATCCCACACAATTCTGTTTATCGAGAGTGAGTCCGCTGGCGTTGGCCTAGAGACGGATTTCAAAAACTTATATGTATCTGTAAGTCCGTTCCATAAGCCTATCAGGCGACCTGTAATCATGAGTGCCCCATGATGATCAAAGGAGCCGAGTATTTAGTGCAAGCAATAAAGCGCTGCTGATGTGACGATGCTTAAGGAGGTTCGATTCGACCACAGCAATCTGACTGTACTCATCCGAGTGTCTG